GAAAAAAAATTAAATCTGAAAAAAAAAAAGCCCGGGAAAAAAAAAAAAAAAAAAAAAAACATCATAACCGAACAGGCGTATTAATCCGTCTTACAGAATCATATCTAATAATGGCAGAGCCAAAGTTTGAGTTTTGGCCTGTTATCTGGCGAGGTTCCCCCCTGCCCCCCCCCGCCCTCAGGCTGTTCATTATTAAGAAACACCTGTGATGCTGTGATGTTATAAAAAGGCTTCGCTGAGGGTACGGCTCTCTTTCAGCCAGTATATTTTGTAGGATTAAAATCTCCCGGCCCTGTAATCATTTTATCAGCGCGGCGCTCAGACTTACAGGCTAATACAAAGCGTGACTGGAAGTACAATCAAACTGTCTTTGAGGTTTAGGCTGATGCATCATCTCAGGGCCTCCGCACGACAATACTTTGTTTTATCTCACCCCCCGCCGACAGCCCCAAAGAAAGCTCTCAACATCTGTGATGGATGCTCTCGAAATCATCCGCCTGAGGGTGGAGGTAGCAAACAAAATGCACACTTTTAAATTATGTTTAAGCGTGCCAAAGTAGGTTTCTGTACACAAAACGAGTAGCGAGCCAAAATGGGGAATATGTTAGTGAAAGACTTGGAATTGAAAGTGGAATCTTAACAGGCCGATCTTGCTAAGCGAACATGGGATTAAACTGACCGTTTGTGGGCGTGAGCGACCTTTTAAGTTACGTCAAAGCTGCTTGCGTGTGTTTTAACGCAATTCCAAGGATGAAAGACACCTGCAGGCTGCCCATCAGTGTGGGAAGGCTTTCGAGTCCACCACTCCAAGTGAGAAAGATTATACGCAATTAAAAAATTTACATTTAAGAAAGTTTGAGGTTTTTGAAGGTGTAAAGATCCCACAGCCCAAAGCTAGAGCTTGGATTTTAGTTATCGGGTTTTGGATCATTTTCAGGTCAGATCAGTAATCGGTTATCGGACAAAAAATGCATTTGTAACCCTTTTCAGATTAATAGACATTGTTGACAGATAAAATACTTTTTCATGCCACTTTAAGAATTTTGTAAAATAAGTTTGGACAATTTTGGCAGAGTCAGGACTAAAAATAAAAAGTTTAAGTATTTTAAGGCCTTAATTCTATTCAGACAACCTTGTCTATAAGGATGGCAGCACATGACCCAGTTTAAGGTGTTTATATGCGGGCAGATTTATAGCTGCAAATGCACAAAAACTTCTCAGCAGCAGGGTGATGCCATCTGCAGTCATACTCATTCATTATTTAATCACTTCCTCCTTCAATAGGAACGGGGGAAAAAACAAAAAGAAAAAACAAAGAACAGAGCATGTTTATTGAACTTTGTGAAGCACTGAATTTGATATAAAGTAAATTCTTTTAAAGAATACATTTTTTAGATACATCTATAACACAAACATATATGAATAAGAATAAGAACTTTGAAAAAAGACTAAAGATGTTGTATCACAGAGAGGAGAAGGCATCCTGCAACCTCAGGGCTGGATTCCTCCTTGTGGCAATTTCATCTCTATACATGAGAATGCTCCCAGAAATGCGAAAGAGGAGGGGGAAAAAAAAAGGAAAAAAAAAGAAGTAAAAGTAGAATGGACCAGTCCTGCTCTACAGCATCAACCAATCTCTGAAACCCAGCCTGCTCTCTGCTCGCCAGGCAATTACACACAACCTGTTGAGTGTTGTACCGGGAATGCGGTCAGCAAGTCACTGGAGAATTAATGAAATGCCAAAGTGGAGGGAGAGAAATTGCCTGTATAACCTGTCCTCAAGGTGCCCTTGTGGTATTTCCAAGAATAAGTCACACAAGAGGAGAAGGTACTCTGTTCCAGCACACTGGAAGAGAAAGTTGGGTTTTCTTTAACTCGTAACCGACTACTTCTTTTTCTTTTTTTGTCTTCCCTCGGTCATCTCTGAAAATGACCGCAATCACAGAGGTCGCTTCCTCAGCGCCTGAGACACTTCCACGTTTTCCAAAGGTCAGGGACGCGAAGAAATTTAATTGGATGCCTCGGTGTCGACCCCTTTATTAAAACAAGTCATTATAGGCCGAGAAAGACCTTCCTGCAGTTTTTACTAAAAGTGATATTAAAGAGCTTTTTCTTTCACAGGTTACCGTGGCGAGGCATTGACAGACGGTCCGGCGGTGAAGGCTAAGGGCTTAGTCGTTAGCTCAGGGTTGGCGGCGGCCTTACCTGACGAGGCTCCCGGAGGAGTCCGGATCCCTGGCGGCTACCCTCCCGATCACCGTGGCGACGGGGGCGTTCTCCTTCACTTCCAGTAGGTACATGGGCTTGGAGAAGACCGGAGGCTCGTCGGCGTCCTCCACTACTATCTTGACCGTGGCCGTGTCCTTGAAGGGCCCGCCGCTGCCGGGCTCCGAGCGGACGTTGGTCGCCTCCACCTTCAGTGTGTAGGCTTTCTTGCTCTCGTAGTCCAGAGGCTGGAAGGAGAACACAGAGACAGAGGGTCAAAGAGACGCTGGTCCTCAACTCACATCAGTCCCACGGTAAAAAGTATAAGTCCAGGACTTCTCTGGTTATCGAACAGAGCAGGTGTTTAAATGTGATGGCACTGTCTTAATCTGTTGTTGTTTGGACTTTTTAATTTAATCTGCTTTCCTTTCCTTTTTTGATAATTTCTTAGTTTATTTTTGTTTTTGCTTAGCTTTTGTCAATTTAATTATTTCTTGTGTTAGTTCATTTACTCGTCCTTCGACCAGTGTTTCTTTCTGCTTAGATACTCACACTTTCACTCTTTTGTTCTTCAAACTCTGAAGGGTTTCAGTGTGTAGTGTATCCCAATTCTCCAGAATGATCTCTTGCCCCGCTCCCCTCTGTGCCCATCATCCACACTTGGGCTGAGCCTGCATCCAGGCCGAACTTCAGTCCCTTTTATTCTGATATCCTACATAAATTCAATTGTTTTTTGAAGTAATCAAATTAATAATGTGTCCACATGTGTAAATATGGCTGATCTTAGAAGGCTTCAGATTCTGTTAGAGAACATCACTGAATGATCAGCATAATGAAAACCAAAAAAACAAAAAACACAGGAGAATAATCAATAGGAAAGAAAGATATGTTTAGGTTAAATTTGGCTTTTGAACAATATTCCAAGCTTTGGAGCAGCCTTACCAGCACAACAACTATTAGTTGGGTTATCTTACATTTTCTTTCAGGTTTTCTCTCCACATAAGCTACATTTGGTCTGGAGGAGGGAGTGTTTAGTTGCTGCCAACAACTAAACATTCTCCCCCTCCTCCTACTAACTTTTTACTTTTCATTAACATAGACTGACCTGGCTACAGGTCAGTCACTCAAACCCATTATTTTTGGCTAGTTCTAAGAAAAATGTGTAGTAAAAATCTGGGAAAAAAAAAAAAAAAATTGGGAATCTGTTGATTTTGTATGAATTTTGTAGATTTGTGAAAAACTGGAGGGACTGACTGATGTGATCTGGAGACTAGAGGGCCACATAAAAAAGCAAAGGAGGGCCAGATTTGGCCCCCGGGGCCTTGAGTGTGACACACGTGCCCTACAATATTGTAAAAAGTTGAAAATGCTGGTCCAGTGCTAGCTGCTGGATGTATTTATTTAGAAGAGCTGGAAAACACATTCTATGTGATAAAGAGAATTGTGTGACTCCAGTTTTGACTTTGATCAGAGAGCAACATCCGTTTTTAAAGCTGCAAATGCTGAAAATAAACAGCAAATCTGAACAACTTGAAGGAAGAAAGTCTCTGCTCACGCTTACAGCGACAGCAAATTAACAGTTTCATACTGCTGTCAACCAGCCCACACACACACACGCACACATGCACGCACGCACGCACGCACACACGCACACACACACACACACACACACAGACATCTGCTAATTTTAGACCATCAAGAAACAGTGTAATTTACCAAAGAGAAAATAATTTACTGCACTGCTGATGTAAGGCGCGTCTGACACATCTGTTTAATTCCTTCCTCCAACTGATGTTCAGTATTTTCTTTACTGATGGCTCATCATTAATATTTAAAAAGGGAGAGGAGAGATTTTTAGCCCCCTGGCATATCCGAGGACTGTTACAATTTCATTCTGAATCACCTCTGGTCAGTTTTATACTAGTAGAATAATGGGATCAAGTCACTTCCACACTCCATAACCAGGATTTATAGGGAAATCAAAACGGGCCTTGCCGCTTGAGGGGACCGGGTGCAGGGGGGGAAGAGGAGAAAATGAACAAAAGAGGAAATGCTGGAGCAGTTGGGATCGTCCCCCAGGTGGAGGGTGGGGGGGGTGGAGTGGAGGGCAGGTCGCTGCTGCAACACAGGAGGGGGGCAGGTGGGCGGATGTGGAGGTGCGGTCGGGGGAAAGCTGACAGCAACCTGGGCTTTGACTTCCACACTACTTCAGCTCTGGCATCAGGGCCATCGTAAAGAGACCAAAGCCCCTGAAGCCTCTCCAAGCCCCACTCCTCCACGGTCGGAGGAGCTCTTTGGAACTTTCTCATTATTAACCTCCCCCTGCACCGCACCTCATCACACTGCTTTTCTCTCGCCCGGTCTCCTCTTCCGTCCTTCTCTTTCTTTCCCTCAAATCCTACAGTGTGTGTGCAGAAAAAAAAGGACTAGCGAGAAGTAGAATCCAGGGATGAAAGCCTAAGCATGTGCACAGATGACACCTGATAGGCAGGTTTTATAGCTTTCATTGTCTATACACAAACCTTGTGCTACAAGTTCAGGGTTTCTGCAGCACGCACTGACTCAATTTACAGAGTTTTTAAGACTTTAAGATCATCATGATCCTTGCTAGCTAGCTTTGTTGCTAGCTAGCTAGTGTATAGATATATACACATGTATATACAAGTCAATAAATGCATAGCTCTGGAAAACATGAAGACACCACTGCAGTGAACCCCATTGAAAACCTCGTGGTTTTTCCACCAAATAGTGATTTCTGAACTCTTCCTGAGTTCAAACAATAGTTTTGTTGTTTCTAAATGAATGAACTTGTTTTCTTTGCATTATTTGAGGTCTGAAAGCACTGCATCTTTTTTGTTATTTTTGACCATTCCTCATTTTCTGCTTGGAATTTTGTAGACATGTTGTCAGCAGTTCATAGGATAAAAGAACAATGTTCATTTTACTCAAATATATAAAAAGTAAAATCAGAGAACTGATCATTTTAAGTGGTCTCTTATTTTTTTTCAAGAACTGTATATATGTTTATATGAATGTGTACTATGACCTCCAAAACTATAGGGGTGCATCAATAAATGGGTAATGGTTTCCTTGGGCGATTGGCCGATACTTAGATGTGAGACAGACCCGATGTAGCTCTGCAAAGGTATGAAAATCATCTGCTGTTCTCTTTTGTACTGCCTACAGAGAACTGACTGTAGCCTTCTGTTTTATTATCATTAGTGAATTTTCAGACAAAAAACATTATTATTAGCCAAAATCTTAATTGTCAGATTGGGCTTTTCAAAGTTCGGGCATTGGCCAAAAATACTGCAATCGCTACACCTGTAGTGTAAAAGGAAGCTTCATGGATGCAGAACAGGACCAAAGAGAGAAGTTCAAACTGTCCCATCCATCGATCATTGTTGGCTCGGATCATTTCCACGACCCCACCGTCTCTCTGCTTGGCTTTTTGTCCATACGGTCAGAGATTCCAAAAGAAGCGGCGAAAGCGAATGAGGTGGATTAGCAGTGCTTGTCAACAGAACATGTCACTCTGAAATATACTGCGCTGTTAGCATGTCATGACCATCATGAGACGTCATAAAGCAACAGTCCTCAGTCTTTGTAGGTCTTTTTGATCCTTCCTGCCATTACCATCACCATCCGCAATGATTCTTTGAAGATACTTGAATGACATCACGTTTATTTTGGAATAAATGAAGCATTTTTGAAATGAACTGTGCTGTAATATGCAGCGACAACAACAGTAACCCCACCCTGACCCAGTTTATTTTAGGTTAAAGTGGACCCACCCTTCGAGGCAGAGACCCCGATCCTTTAAGATCAGCTTCACTCTAAGCAGACATCACCTGCTGTGGACTCAACGATTATACATTTAGTGTTTTTAAGAATTTCATTGAGTAGTAACGGAGCATTTGTGTGCACCGTTTGCCATCAAAGCAAAAAAACAAAACAAAACAAAACAAAACAAAACAAAACAAAACAAAAAACAAACAAGCTTCAAATTGATTCAGTTAAAGCGCCACGCTATGCTTTGCTTCCCTGGTCTGAAAGCCCCGCGCTGATGTTCTCACATGGCGGCGCGTGGAAACAACTCATTACGTTGGTTTCCGACGGCCTAGCAGAGAGCTGAAAGGGAGACGAAGAGAGGGAGGGCAGTTCTTTCACTGTTGCTGGCAAATTTAATTATACCATATTCACTTTAAAAGAAAACACGGTGGTAAACAGCTTCTTTAATTACCCCAGCTACTTTAATTAAAAATAATTTTCACTATCAATTACCAAATCAAATAAAGCATCTATACAAGCTGCGTTTTGCGCTGCGCCGCATAATATCCTGTTCGGCGAGTCAGAATAGAAAGTCCCATTTTGACCTTGTGAAAATTATTAATTCATTAAACAAACACTGGCAGGGCTGACTAATCCGGGGAGGTTATATTGTTATTAGCATGCATGGTGCTGCTGTCACACTGCTGCTGCTGATTATTAAGAGATTCACAAGTGCAAAAGGAGCAAAGTACAGTTATCAGACGTGCTGCTGTTCAGGCTGTGTTCCTGTAGACCTTCACAATGTGTCGGCTAAAGAGGCATTTAACTGCGTGAATTCACTGGCATACAAAGAACAAATATGAAATATATTTTCTGAATTTCTAACCCCTTTATTGGTGGAATGAGAGACAAAAGTCTGTTTTGTTTTGTTTTCTTTGTGGAAAAAAATAGAGTCAGGGAGTGAAAAAGACAACAGAAATGTATTTGCTGCTGTTTTTTTCCCAGGAATTTTATTAATAATTTTAATTATTTTTCTGGTGAAAAGAAGTAGCAAAATAAAATGGGTTCTCTTAACAGTTTTTTTTTTTTTGACAGTTTTAAAACCCATTTTTACTATAATTTTATTTTTAAAATTGTGATTTTGTGGAGAGGGTTTCTTTTTCTGAGTCTTGGGGTGTCAAAAACTTGACACTGATCAAAGTTTGTATTTTTACCATTCTGAATATGAAACTTGGTAACTCGAAGGTTAATAGTATTTAGAAATTATAAGGTAAGGCTTTCATCAAGAGGAAGAAAATAATTTAAAAATTTTTTTCTAAAAACTGGTAATCAAATTGCAATGTTATTTTTTCAATGTATTTTAAATAGGAGTAAGTGTAACTTTAACTGAAAAGTCCCAAAGGATTCTCCCTGCAGTTTGCATCAACACAGCCAAACTTATTATGGAATGCATAAAAAACATACAGATTATTTCTAA